TTTGGAATGAGTGAAATTATTTTGAGTCAAATCAACTATTTTGAAAATGGTGTTTATACGAGTGGAATCACCTTTTTGTTGGAAATGAGTAAATTTTCTTTTGACTCAAGTTAAACCGTTTCATGGAATAGTGAAACAATTGAAATCTATTTTTCTTAAATTATGAAAAATTGAAATAAGTTTTTTTTGGTGAGCTTTAGTTTTACCATTTGAATTAGTGGAATAGTTGAATTAATTTTGAAATAATGAAATAATTGAAATCAGTTTTTGAAATAGGTAAATTGTTGATGTCAGGGAAATTTTGAAATAATTTTTCATTATGTTTTACTTTCAATTTTTGAAATTATGAAACAAACAATTGAAACCACTTAAAATAGTTAGAAAAATTGACGTCAATCTTTAGAAATAGTGAAATTGATGAAATCACTGAATATGCATAACAATGAAAATGAAGTGGATAATGATCAAAATAGTTTTCGCATAATATTATGTTGAAAACATTTCATTTGGATGAATGTAATGTTTTATGAAATAAATACGAAAATAATAAACCTTCAAATATATTCGATATGATCTTGTTCTAAAGGTCTTCTTGATACAAATTCAAATATATAAAATGTTTCAAAATCAAATATTTGATTCAAAAGATGTCAGTCATTCAAAAAAAATGTCAATGAAATTAAATCATGTCTTTCATATGGGTGAGAGAGAGTGCATGCAATGGTCTTTCCCAATCTCTTACCCTCTCCTGGTATAAAGTTGACACACGTGACACGATCTCGATGTGGTAATGAATGGCGGATGTTTTACCGGTACATACCCGAACGGCGAGAAAAAACAATTTCAGGAGTTTTGTTCCTTCCTTGGAGGCTTCGACAGTTCGACCCCTTCCATCCATTGTTATTAGGTGCATGCGACGCTTAAGCAAGTGTGGAAAAAAAAGGTGCTTGCGATGCCTTCCCTATTCTCTACTCCATCTCGGACCAAACGATCTCTTGCATGCGCCATTCCCAACAATGGCAACCTTTCACATATTCCTCGCTTCCTCATGGCTCCGGCCAGCTGCTCCCACCCCATAGTTTAGGCACGCCGTACAGTCCTTGGCCCGTATATAGCATCTCGATCTCTCTTTACTTAAAGCTAGAACGACGTGGGGTAGCTAGCTAGCTAGGTTAATGCACTACTCCTGATCATCCTGCAGCTAGCTGTAAAGAGAATTAGAGAAGAGATCGCAATTTGAACGACCAATTGACCATGATGTTTTCCCTGTACTTCCTTCCTCCTAAATCATAATATTCACCTTTCGCTTGCTTGTCGGTGGATCGGCCAGCTTTAATTTACTTTGAGAAGCTAGCGGGGTTCGAACCGTATCAACATGGATTCTACGTGGAGTGAAACAAGGAGACAAGGATTAGCCGTGCGTGCATGCACATGACATTCATGGCCTCTTTTTGTACACTTCACACAGTACACACCTGTCCAGCACGCGAAATGTGGCATGCAATGCAAGTAACGCATATGCATGCATAGCCGCATAGGCAACGTCATTTTCCCTAGCGTCATCTCTTTCTCTACATATAGCTAGCTGATAGCTGATACCTTCCCTTCATCGGCATGCATATGTATGCGTAGATCACCTACTAGTGGAGTCCATATCTAGGATCTAGCTATAGCCTATAGCGATCATACATCTTATAGATCGATGACATCGATCGAGGTGGCGGCCGCCGGCGGCAGTGGCAAGAGGACGTGGGTGTCGGACGTGGAGAAGACGTTGAATGAGGCGGACAAGACGGTGGAGGTGGCGCAGTGGGAGCGGCACTGCATCTACCGCGTGCCGGCGTGCATCAAGGACATCAAGAGCAAGGCGTACCAGCCGCAGGTGGTGTCGCTGGGCCCGTTCCACCACGGCGACCCCAACCTGCTGCCCATGGAGGAGCACAAGCGCCGGGCGCTGCGCCACCTGCTCCGGCGCGCGGGCCGGCCTCTTGACGACTTCGTCGCTGCCGTCGAGGACATCGCGGAGCAGCTGGAGAGCGCGTACATGGACCTCGGCGGCGAGTGGCGCGCCGGCATTGACGGCAAGGGCAGGGAGCGGTTCCTGCAGATGATGATCGTCGACGGCTGCTTCCTGCTCGAGGTGATGAGGAGGACGGCCGCCGGGAACTCGAAGCAGGTCGACGACTACGCCGGCAACGACCCCATCTTCAGCCGCCACGGGATACTCTACATGGTGCCCTACATCAAGCGAGACATGCTCATGCTCGAGAACCAGCTGCCGCTGCTCGTGCTCCAGAGGCTCGACGCCGTCGAGACTGGAAAGTCTCCGGTAACCACGAGCTACCACATCAAATTTTACTATTTTCGTCAAAAACAAAAAACCATTTGAATACTGACGCATGCATGGTTGACGGCCAGAACGACGACTTCATCAACAGAATGGTGCTAAGGTTTCTGGCGCCATTCTCGCGGCCACTGCAACCAGGCGGTCGCCTAGGGCTCCACCCACTCGACGTCTTTCGCCGGAGCATGCTCTTCGGCGAATACCAGAAGATCCGGAGCTCCGAGGACAACACGCAGGACAACGACATCATCCGGTCGGCGGTGGAGCTGTACGAAGCCGGGATCCAGTTCAAGACGAGCAAGTCAAGCAGCCTGCACAACATCCGGTTCAAGCACGGCGTGCTGAGCATGCCGACGGTGCCCGTGGACGACTCCACCGAGTACATGTTCCTCAACATGATGGCGTTCGAGCGGCTGCACGTCGGCGCCGGCAACGACGTGACGGCCTACGTCTTCTTCATGGACAACATCATCGACTCGGCCAAGGACGTGGCGCTGCTGAGCTCCAAGGGGATCATCCAGAACGCCGTGGGCAGCGACAAGGCCGTGGCCAAGCTGTTCAACAGCATCTCCAGGGACGTGGTGCTGGAGCCGGACAGCGCGCTGGACGCCGTGCAGAGGCAGGTGAACGGCTACTTCAGGCAGCCGTGGAACATGTGGCGCGCCAACCTCATCCACACCTACTTCAGGAGCCCGTGGGCGTTCCTGTCCCTCGCCGCCGCCGTCTTCCTCCTCGTCATGACCATCATGCAGACCGTCTACACGGTGCTGCCGTTCTATAAGCCGGACAGCAACAGCCCGCCGTCGGCTCCATCTCCGATGTGATCCGGCCGCAACAACTTATACCTGCGTCTGCGTGCGTGAATTGGTTTTGCTTTCCGAGTCCTTGTTGCTGGGTCGTTGCGAAGCTTTTGGGTTGTGTGCACTGTGCAAAAGCGAAGAGTGGCGTGTTTGTGCTGCGTTCGTTTTGATTGAATTTCTTTTCAGTTTGGAGCTCCGACAATAAGCATTTGCTTGTGCAGAACTGGAGATTTATGACAATGAGCATTTGCTTGTGCAGAACTGGAGTACAAAACAAGTCATCCACGGACTGCCGCCAACCGCGCCGTCTGTGGTAATTGTACACCAGTGACGGTCACGCTCTACGCGGCTCTACAGCCGTAAATCATAACTTCACCACATGGTTACAAACTTAGGGCATCTCCAATACGACCCTTAAAACAGACCCGGTATTCGTCTGTGGACCGATCTAGATCAGTCTGTGGACAATAATGCGGGAGGCGGCCATCCAACCATATTCTCTAAAACTTTCGTCTTTATTTTTTATGTTCGTCAGCTCAAAATAACAACATATCAAATCATAGATGATTGAAAATATTCAAATGCGACGGTAGTTCTAATTTACAAAGCAACTAAGTTTTCAAATTAAAGTTGTTCAAACTTGAATTCAACACATATATGTTCTAGTTGTCCCCGTTAACCGCCCACAGATGCTCAATCAAATCCTCCTTGAGTTGTTCGATACCAAAATTGTTGATGCATTTGAGCAAACTCATCAAACGTGGCCAGGTTCTGATGTGAAAAATAAACATGATCACCCATGTTCTCGAATTCTAGACCTGCGGCAACATCTTCATCCTCATTCTTCATGATCATTTCATCACTTCCCACAAGGTTTCTAGATCCTACTGTTAAAAAGGTCTACGAACAACTGCAAAATAGGCCTAGAGCACTCCAAATGCCTCCTCCACATCCTTTATAGCCCCCCTAAAAAGCCATCCTTTATAGCTACTTCTTACATGCGTACTGAATTTTTGACATACTTATACACTACTACAAAACAAGCCATCCACGGTCGCCATGTCGCCGATAATGCTGGTGCGGTCAGCTCTCCGGTCACGTCCGTATGAGCGGCATAAATGTGGGTAGGCGATCGTCTAGTCGCGCCCACATTCATCAGCATTAATGCAGGGGAGAGTTTGGGAACACACAGACCAAGGGTTTTGGGTCGGTCAGCCGTGCCATATTCGTATGTGGCGAAGGTCCGGACAACCCGCAAACTTCCCATATGTTTAAATCCAGTTTATAGGATTTTGGACGTTGATTGGTCTAGACAAATTTAGAGACCGTCGTTGGATAACAGAAGCTGTATGGACTGTTCAGTCCAAACATTTAGAAACAATTTGGTGCATTGTGTTGAAGTTGCCCTTAGTTTTTTTAATATATATAAATACGCTGGTGGTCACCAAAGTGAGGTCGAAGCACACTACAGTCGTTGGACTTGATAATACGCTCATTACAGTCATTGAATACATGTAGCGGTGATTTGTCATTGGCTTACTGTAGAGTCCGTATTCTATCTACATGGCACTTGGTTGACTGGCCCAATAGACTGTGTGGCATGTAGCGAAGCTTGGTCATCACCACGTCCTCTCTCTAACTTGTGGGTCCCATCTGTCATTGGGCGAAATAAGCAAATATCCTCTCTAGGCCAACCAAGCTAACCACTTGAGACAATTCATTTAGAAACAATTCACTAAGCAATAATGTCACAACATTTTTCGGGGTTTACCTAAGCCTCTAATGTTCCATATCAATCCTATCATGATATTCTCAGACCAGACACTCATGTATATATCCCTGCTGCAATGTGTGAATCAGCTGATTATGAGGCCTCCATGAGCCGCGAAGAATGGCGCGAAGACTAGGGACTCCACAGCCATGAGCTTGATGAGGATGTTGAGCGACGGCCCGGACGTATCCTTGAGCGGGTCTCCGATGGTGTCACCGATCACGGCGGCCTTGTGCGCCTCCGAACCCTTGGGACCCAGGGACTTGGCGTGCTCCGACGCACCCGCCTCGATGTACTTCTTGGCGTTGTCCCAGGCTCCCCCGCTGTTGGAAGCAGATATGGCCACCTGCACGCCGGAGACGAGCGCGCCGGCGAGCAGGCCGGCGAGCGTGTGGACGCCGAAGAAAGTGCCGACGACGAGGGGCGCCAGCAGCACCAGCGCCCCGGGGGGCATCATCTCCCTCAGGGACGCGTCCGTCGAGATCCTCACGCAGCTGGCGTAGTCCGGCGTCGCGCGCCCCTCCATCAGCCCCGGGATGGTGCTGAACTGCCGTCGCACCTCCTCCACCATCTTCAGCGCCGCGCTGCCCACGCTCTTCATCGTCATCGCCGAGAACCAGTACGGGAGCATCCCGCCGGCGAGCATCCCGGCGAACACCTTGGGGCTCAGCACGTTGATCACCGTGACGCCCGCGCGGCTCACGAACGCGCCGAACAGCGCCAGCGACACCAGCGCCGCTGAGCCGATGGCGAACCCCTTGCCGATGGCCGCGGTGGTGTTGCCCGCGGCGTCGAGGGCGTCTGTCCGCTGCCGGATCCTGCGGCTCATGCCGGCCATCTCCGCGATGCCTCCGGCGTTGTCGCTGATCGGGCCGTACGCGTCGATGGCCAGCCCGGTGGCCACTGTGCTGAGCATCCCGAGCGCGGCGATGGCGATGCCGTAGATTGATGCCAAGGTGAAGCTGATGTAGATTGATAGGGCGATGGCTAACACGGGAACGATGACGGATTTGTAGCCGAGCGCCAGCCCGAAGATGACGTTGGTCGCCGCGCCGGTCCTGCAAGAGTCGGCCACGTCCCGAACAGGGCTGCGCAACCCACAAAGTTAATCACTCCGAATCCGAAAGTTTCCGAATGTGCACAAAACTATCTCACTGAGACAAACGAATAGTAGAACTAATTACCTGTAAGCATTACTGGTGAAGTACTCTGTGGTGAAGCCGATGGCCAGACCTGCCCATAACCCAATGGCGACGCAGAAGAACACGTGCCTGCCATTGCAAACGCCGGCCATTGGTTACCTTAACATGATCCATCAGTGGCAAAATGCATGCAGAGTGAGACTCGGCGGCGAGGGCTTACCAGTTCTTGACCTGTTTCTGCTCCCCGAAATCGAACATGGTGAACCTGGCGGGGAGCGCGGCGAAGGTGACGACGAGGGCCGCGACGGTCATCAGCGCGGTGGAGATGATGAGCTGAAGCTTCAGCGCTGGCGCGACCCCGCGGACGGTCTTGACCTTGAAGAAATCGGTGGCGAAGAGCGTGGTGACCAGGCAGACCACAAGCCCCGCCGAGCTTATCAGCAGGGGGTAGCACACCGCCGCAAAGTCGTGGTCGGCGCCGAACGACGAGATCGATGCCACGAACAGCGCCGCGCAGGTGGACTCGGCGTAGGACCCGAACAGGTCGGAGCCCATCCCGGCGATGTCGCCGACGTTGTCGCCCACATTGTCAGCGATCACCGCGGGGTTCCTCGGGTCGTCCTCGGGGATGTTCCGCTCCACCTTCCCGACGAGGTCGGCGCCGACGTCCGCCGCCTTGGTGTAGATGCCGCCGCCGACCCTCCCGAACAGCGCCATGGACGAGCCGCCGAGCCCGTAGCCGGTGATGGACTCGTACAGGCCCTCCCAGTCGTCGTGGTAGTAGAGCCCAAAGAGCTTGATGGCGACGTAGAGCACCAGGAGGCCCAGGGACGACAGGAGGAACCCCATGACGGCGCCGGACCGGAACGCCGTAGCGAAGGCCGCGCCGATGCCGCGGCGCGCCTCCAGTGTGGTTCTCGCGTTGGCGAACGTGGCAATCCGCATGCCGAGGAAGCCCGACACGACGGAGGTGACGGCGCCCAGGAGGAAGGCCATTGTGGTGAAGACCGCGTTGGCCAGCGCCGGCTTGCACGTCTTGCCCTTGGTGTACTGGCACGGCTGGCTGGCGGTGCTGAAGCGGTGCACGGACCCCAGGAAGAGGAAGATGACCACCGCGAAGATCACCGTGAAGGCCGCGAGGTACTTGTATTGGGTGAAAAGGAACGAGTTTGCTCCTGCAATATTTGACACGTTACTACTCGAATTGTTGTCAAGAGTGTGCACGGACCAATGACGAATTTCAAATGGAAACTTTGCTGGTTACACTTGTTTCAAAACAGATATACTCCGTGCTAGCTTCAGTGGGTGTGATGTATAATCATACAATGCAGGACATGTACAAACTGTACAGACATGTTCTTTATTTTCAGCACTTAACTCAACAATTTGGGTACAATAACAGTAAAACTTGGTTGCAGTAGTAATAATGATCAAATTGAGTAATTTTCACATTCAATTTTTTTCTCCACCTATAAAGAAATCTGGTTACACTTGAGAAAACTTCCATATTTATCAAAATGGCATCAATATGCCAAACTAGTTCAAAAGTTAGAGCATCTCTATCTTGAATTAGGATTCAAGATAGGGGGCAGAAGGTGCCCATCTCGCTGAAATTTAGAGGGAGGGTGGGGGACAAAAATAGTTAGGAAATTTAGAGCATCTCCAACAGGCGTGCGATACTAACGCCGCGCTGAAAAAGTACCTTCTTTTGCGCGTGCGCAGTTGCTCCGTGCGCTCCAGCGAAGGCGTAAAAAACGCGCGCAGCATAAATGGTTCAACGCGTGGAGCGAAACAGCATCGTGTGACGCTTATTTCGTGCGCCCGCTCCCGCGCGCTGCACACTCGAGCGCCCGCGCTGCTTTCGCCCCGCCCCGCGCCGCTGCCAGCGAATTCGCCCGATGGACGGCTGCGTCGACATCCCCCTCACCCCTTCCTACACCCGCGACCCCTCCGCCGCTGCCGGTGCAAACCCTAGCGTGGGGAGCTTTGGCTTCACCTCCGTCGGTGCTCCTCCAAGCACCGGTCTCGCGCGCGGCCTTTTCATGGCTTCATGGACGAGCTCGGCGGGTGGAGTCGCGCCAACGCCCACCGTGAAGCCATGTGCCCCCCTCTCGAAGCTCCCAAATGCGGCGGTGGCGAAGGAGGGCAAGGTGTTCGGGAAGAAGAACAAGGCGGCGGACAGCTCCTCTAGGCGGCTGAAGAAGAGACTTGCAGGGCGTGCGGCGGATGCATCGGCGACCGAAGTACCGGCGAGCTCGCTTGTTGCGCCGACGGGGTCGACGCGCACAAGGTGTTCGATGAAATGCCCACAGGGTATGATTTCGCCCATTTTTTTCGTAGTTGTTTTTTACATGAATGAATACATATGGATAGCTTATTTGTTTCGTTGTATATACTTTGTAGTTTCAACGATGAGACATATATATCAACTATGGGTGTTGGCTCCAACAATTCTCATTGGTCTCAAACCAATTATGTACATTTCCGTAATCATGAGTTTGAGGTGGACGAGGATGGTGAGGGTATCGTCGATGCACCGAAAAGAAGAGCAGACAACTACAGTATGGACCAAGACATCTTGCTATGCAATACATGATTGGGTGATTTTAAACTATGCTATGTCTTGTTTTGATGTTTGAAATATCACCATATTGTCTCCAAAATGAACATGTTGCAAGCGCCGGCTGCTCGCGCGCGTTGTAGTTTAGCACGTCTACTGGAGCGACGCGCGCGCGCAATTTTTTGCAACGGCCGCTGGAGCCAGGCTCCCTAGCGCGCTAAATTTCGATGTTGTAAACTGTTTTTAACGCGGCGCGCCTATCGGAGATGCTCTTAGGTTGGAACTTTTGTAGCCAGCCCGTAGATGTAGGATTATCACTCTACAGTCTACACCCTACCCACCAACTCCGGCACCTGCGACCGTGCACCCGCACAGGTCAAGCCTCTGCCTTGCATCCACTTGAGTGTTGAGACGCCGCGGCGTCCCCAACAGCGGTTGAAGTACATCTTTTAGGCCAACTTCACCGCACCATCCTATCTTGTCCGGCCCCGTTCGTTTGGAGTAAAAGGGACAAACCAGGCGGCCCAGCGCGCGACGGCCCGGACCCATATTGTCCATTTTGTGTCCGGGCCGACCCATTTCGAGCGCAAACTTGCGCCTGGTTTGGGTCGCGGCGGACAGCAAACGGACACGCGCTCGTCCGCGTCGGGGCCGCGTGGCAGGCGGCCACCTACCTCCCATCTGCTAACATAAATGCACACGGGCGGGTGGCCCCACCTGTCATCCGGCCATCGAACGGCCGCCGTCCTTCTTAAATGGGACCCGTGGATCAGTCGTCGTCCTCACCTCCACTTTCGGCCCCTCTCTGCCCCCTCGAAAGCCGACACGACCAAGCCTTATCCGCTTCCCGTCCTCGAACTTGCCGGCCGGCCGCAGCCATGGGGCTATGGAACTACGGCCGCAAGGGGAAGCACGACCGCGAGGCCAGCTCCTCCTCGGGCCGCCGTCGCGGCTTCGTGAAGAAGGAGGAGCCCGCGTCACCGCCGCGCTCCTCCCGTCGAGCCCCCGCACCGGCCCCCTTCACCATCGCCCCTAGGCCCATCGGCGAGCGCAACCGGCAGTACCACTGCGCGGACGTGTGCCGACGCTACTGGGAGACGAGGACGCCGGTCCCGTGGAGCGACGTCCACCTCCCCAATGGATGGCACCTCAGCGCCGACCGGGTCCTGATCCTGTCGGTGCCCGTGGGCGGCCGTGCGTGCCGCGATGAGATCGAGCGCCGCCGCCGCCTCCTCCCCGACGACCTGTACTACGACGACAGGTACGCCCCCGATTCTGTGATGTGGGACACATGGCTCCAGGACGAGCACGGCACGCGCCGCGCGTCGTACTTCGCCGGCACGGTGTTGGGGCCGCGGCGGCCACATCTAGAGGTGCGCGGGCGTACGTGGGTGCACGGCCTCACGCCCACGTCGTCGCCTTCCCCGTCTTCGTCACCACCTCCACCTCCTCGCATGACAGCGGAGGAGGAGGCCCGGCTCATGCAGCATGTCATGGAGGACTCCATGAACATGCACGACGAGCGCCAATGGGACGGCTTGTAGGAGGCCATGGCACTCTCTGCCGCCGGCGACGTCGCCTTCCCCGAGCTGCAGATGGCGGCCGTCAAGGAGGAGGAGAGGAGGGAGGAGGCGATGGAGGAGGAGCCGGTGGCCGCGTTCCACCCGGGCCTGGTGGGCCAGCAATGAAGCTGGTCGTGCACCGCGCCAGAGATGGCCGACGCCGTGGGGGGCGTGAACTGGTGCCCCACGCCGCCGCGGTCACCGGAGTGGGAGGCCTCGCCACGGGAGGAGGTGGTGCAGGCACCTCCGTCCTTCCAGGCCGCCCCCGTGTACCACGCGCCGCCGCCCCACCTCTGGACGCTGCTGGCCTACGTCGACCTCGTCAGCGAGGACAACGACACCGGCGGCCAGTGATGAAGACAGCGAGGGCCATGGCATCGACGGGCGCGGCTGGAGCGCGTGGCGGCGTTTTTTATTTTTTTTATGTAAATTATGACACTTTGTGAACTGCTAAACTGGGCCGTTTTGTGGCCGTCACCCCCTAACTAAGTTTTATGTTTATTAAACTGCGCTTATTTACTTTTTTTAGTCATTTTATTTACGTTTTTTTGTTTTTTTTTAACCATCCCCAACGCGAACGTGATTTGGGGTGCGGCCGCGCGGTGGGCACACGCACGACCCAACGGACAAGGCCGGACACGGGCGAACCCATCGGCGCCTCAAAGGAACAAAATTCGGCCAAATCGGACATCCGTTTGGGGTCGTGCAGTGGAGTTGGCCTTAAGTTTTTCATCCAAGTGGAAAAGACAACACTCCTACCGGGCTCTAAAACGTGCTCAATGCTCAACCAGCAGTAAGAACAGGTCGTGGAGGCTATCACAAAGTCGACCAAATTAATCAAAGAAATAGAACCATACTTCCTAGTAAAGTTAACAGAATGGGAATCAAAAAAACTTGCAAGGATATGGCGTCTCCGGCGGCCCGTCGAACACGTGCCAGGTTAGGTGCCACCACTACTTGGTCAAATCTTTGACAGTGCATCTTTTCGTGAACGAGGAGCAAGTCACAAATCAAGCATATTTAGTTTCCCAATGGCCTGGATTTCCTCAGAGTTGACTTGTGGCATATAAATTATGTCAGCAGCAAGGTGTTTGAGCTGATCATCTACTGTTGGTCAATGGTTTTGACAGTGCATCTTTGCTTTACATCAGGATAAAGTGTTTCGAAAAAAATGGATAAAGTGTCTCTCTTTTTCGGAGCAAGTTCCACATCAAACACGTTGGTAAAGAACTCTGGATGAGGAGATTGTGCAGTTAGTTGCGTTCGATTAGAGTTGAACACGACCCGTTTACGAAGTCCAAACCATGAATTTTCTCCAAAACGTAAATATATAGAAGCTGACGGCAAAGAAAAATACCCTGAACTGTGACTAATTAGTTTACACGAGTGAAATATCATTTTATATAGTTATTATTAAGCATATTTGTCTGCATATATGTGTTCGTGAAAGATCAAATATCACTACTTCGTACAAAATTGGGCAAACAAAATTAATCCCTAGCGGCAGTAGTGAGTAGTGACCCATAAATAAGGGCTAAACTAACAACACCGATCAAAGAAAAGCGTTTGAATTTGAAGAGTCCGCGTAAGGAACTCAAGATAAGTACGAATGGAACTCACCGACTGAAATGGCGTTCTGGATCTCCGCGCACCTGGCCACGGCCGCCGGGCCGTCGCCTCCATCCTCCTCCTCATCGCTCTCGCCGTCCCCGCCGCCGCCGATACGGGTATCCTCACCGTCCTCGTCCCCCGTCCGGAACACCGGCTGCCCGTGCACGCCGTTGCCGGCCGGCGCGTAGGCGGACACCTTCGCCTTGGCGACGAGGAACCATTGCCAGAGCGCGAAGGCAATGCCGACCACGGCGCACGCCGGTATGACCGCGTCGGCCACGGAGAAGCCCATCGCGCGCGCCCCCGGGAACCAGCGGGAAAAGCAAGAGTAGAGAGAGAGAGGGGGGGAGAGAGGCTCGAAATATTGCAAGTTGTGGAGGATTTTGTGAGCGTGGGAACCGGCAAGGCTGGCGAGATCGAGAGCAACTGCCTTCCTCCTCCTGGAGTAGGCGGTATTAAGCAACGGGGTGACCGTTGAGTATGGTTATTGACTTGAGGAGGTGCGCTGTACGATGTACGGTTAGCTTAGCTGGGGGGTAACATAGGCTGCTTCGTCGCCAGGGCATGTGGTGTGTAGTAATAATCTTCAACCCTCGAATAGAAACGACTAAAATAAGCCGAAGTTGTCAGTGTAGTGCATACCTAAGGTGCAACAAACATTAGGTCGTCTGTAGCGTGAGCCCAAGGCCGTTCATATGGGGGCTTGGAATCGGTTCAATACAGTAGCTGGAGGCTGGAGCCAGCCGATTCCAAGTGATACAAATGAACTTTTTAGATAAAAGGCCATAGCCCGACTTTATAAATAGAGCCACACGACAGTGTCACAGACCCGAACATAAACACCGTCAACAGGCGAAACAACGCGAATCCACCGAACAGAAAGTCTGGGACAGGCAAACGAACGAAAGTTTAAGGGGATACATGGCAACCTGCCATACTCGGCGCGCAGGCCGGAAGGGAGAAGACTAAACCCGACGAAGAGAACAACACCAAGATCAGACGGCAGGGTCCAGCCCGGAGATGTGGGATGCCGAAGCCCGAATTTTGGCGATGAGTAAGTCTAGGGCATCCCGCTCTTCCACCTTAGTCAAGAATCTCCACTGCTGCAATAGAATACAAGATTTGAAAAGAACGTCAGCAGGCTTAGATGGGAAAATATGCTCAATAGTAAATTTGTTCCTAATAGTCCATTAAGCCCAGCACAAGGCACCCAGGCCTACCCAGAACACCCTCTTGGTAACCCCAACCAAAACTTTGGCTAGGTTTCTAAGCTCCGAGAATGAAGAAGGGTTCCAAGAAACCTGGAGCCAAGATCTGACACAACTCCACACCAACTTGGCCAGCACGCAGTGGAAAAAGATGTGTTCCGAGTTTTCCAAGGCACCGCAAAGATGACAGAACTCCGAGCCTGGCCCATTGCACTTGCGAATCTGGTCAGCCGCCGGGAGGCGGCCTCGAAAAGCTTGCCAAAGGAAATTTTTAATCTTAGGAGGCACTTTAGATCGCCAGACGCAAGAGAATCTACTCGAAGGATTACCGACGATAAGCCTAGTGTACAACGACTTAACCGAAAACCTGCCAGAGGCCGAAAGAGGCCAAACCACAGAATCAGACGACTCCGAGAGCACAGGGAAGAGGGCAGAGAAACTTTGCCAATCTTCCAACTCTTCAGGAGACAGGGACCGACGAAAAGCCAGATCCCAATTATTCGCCACAACCTCCGCGATGGAGATGTCCGGCTTAGGACAGTAAGAATACAGAACCGGAAAACTAACAGCTAGAGGGGCATCCCCAGACCACCAGTCCAACCAGAAGCGAACCGCAGTCCCGTTACCCACGATAAATTTAACATGCTCCAGGAAGATAGGCTTGACTTTGACAAGGTTCTTCCAGAATTGAGATCCACGACGAGCGGAGGCAAATAGAGGGCTAGAATGTGGGAAGTATTTAGCCTTGAGGATCGAAAACCAAAGGGAATCGGCCCCGCTAGTCATAATTTTCCACCACCACTTAATTAGCAAACATTTGTTCATCACTTACATATTAATAATGCCTAACCCCCCCAGGTTTTTAGGCTTACACATATACTGCCACTTGACCAGCCTATATTTCCGTTTGTTATCCGCAGAGTTCCAGTAAAAAGCTCCCCTATGTTTGTCAAAGCCAGCATGAATGCCAGCCGAAAGAAGATAGAACCCCATAAGGAACATAGGAAGAGAAAGATAAGGAGGAGTTAATTAGAGCAACTTTGCCCGCGTTAGTATTATATCTCCCCCTCCATGGAAGCACCCTGTTTCCCACCTTAGCGACATCCGGAGCAAAGTCCTTAGCGTGCAGCAAGACAGGAGAAATTGGAAGACCTAAATACTTGAAAGGGAAGGAGCCCAAGGAGCAATTAAGAAGCCTGGCCACCCGCAAGGCTTCCACATCATCGACACCGGTCACTAAGACCTCACTTTTAGAGAAGTTAATCTTAAGGCCCGAGATAGCTTCAAAACAAAGCAATATGAATTTAAGGTTGGCAATACAGGAGTCGTCCAGCTCCACCATGATAATTGTGTCATCAGCATATTGCAAATGAGATACCCCATCCGGGAGAAGATGGGAGACCACTGGAATGATGTGACCACATTGGGCTGCCCTAGTGAGCATGCAAGAAAACGCATCAGCCACAAAGTTAAAAAGAACCGGGGAGGCAGGGTCCCCTTGACGAAGGCCTCTGCCATTGGCGAAGAAATTACTAATGAACCCATTCACAGACACGGCAGTATGGCCACCCGAGACCATCTGCATGATACAATGCACAAAAGCTCCGTCAAAGCCTTTCGCAAGCAGGACCTGCTTGAGGAAAGACCAACTAACCGAGTCATAAGACTTTTCAAAATCTAACTTAAGGATAATCGCTTTAGCTTTCCGAGAGTGAAGGTCGTGCACAACATCGTGCAAAGAGAGGATACCATCTAAAATGAAACGACCTTTGATAAAAGCTGATTGGAAGGGGCTAATAACTCTATGAGAAACCGGGGACAGTCGATTCGCAAAGCCCTTAGCAGGAAATTTGGTAAAGTTATTGATCAGAGCAATAGGTCGGAATTGAGAGATTAATTCAGCACCCTTAACCTTGGGAATCAGGGAAATAACAGCGTAGTTGAGGCATGAAATATCGATAGTACCAAGACAGAAGCCCTAAATGACCTTGAAAACCAATTGTTTCAGCTGAGGCCAGAATTTCCAAAAGAAAGGGATCGAAAAGCCATCTGGCCCAGAGGCAGCATTCGGATTAGCAGAATTAACTACATCCAATATTTCCTGATCAGAAAGGGGGATCATCAATGAGGCATTTTCCTCAGGCGATATTTTAAGGCCAAGGTTCCAGAGGGAAGGGGAGATACATAGGCCCGAAGGAGACTTCGCCCCCAGCAGAGAAGAGAAGAAGTCCACCACGTGAGCCATAATAACAGACTGGTCCGAAGAGCGTGCACCATTAATAATCAGGCTATTGATACCACAGCGCCTTCGCCTACCGTTCGCGATCGCAAAGAAATAAGCCGTGGGGGAGTCCCCTTTAAGAGTCCAGTTGAGAGTGCCCCGCTGGCGCCAGTAAACCTCAGCCTGGTAGTGCAACTGCATTAAGGCAGCCTCAAGGTTATACCGAACCGCCCAACCATCATCGGAGAGCCCAGTGGAGTCGGCCGCCAGATCAAGAGAGGCAATCTGTGCCTCAAGGAAGTTTTTGGATCGCCGATCCTCCACCGCACGATTACGAGACCAACCTCTAAGAAATTTACGTAGGTTGTAGGAACACGAGTGCCAGTCATCCAGAGGCCCAAAGGAGCGAGCATTAGAGGAGAGAAGGAGGGATATCTTCGCGGCCACCATCTCATTAAAACCATCAACATACAGCCAAGAGGCGTCAAATTGGAATCTAGCCGGGGGTCTAAGATTAATAAAACCATCGTCAAGAGTTAAGGGGGTATGGTCAGAGCCAACGATGCATTTGGCGCCAAGGGAGGCCCTGGGAAACATGGAATCCCACCTGGGACAAATGAAGACTCGATCAAGAACTGATCTAATCGGATTAGCCTGGTGATTGGACCAAGTAAAGCGAGATCCGCCCCGAGGAATCTCATGAATAGCATTGGTGCTGATAAAATCATTAAAGGCATTCGCCAGAGGCCAGGAAAAGATATCATTACTTTTATCAGAAGGACACCGAAGGAGATTAAAGTCACCCCAGATAACCATCGGGAGATTGCAGGACTCGATCTTCACAGAAAGCTCATTGAGAAATAGAGGGGACAGAGAATGATCAGCAGGCCCATATACCACGATAAACTCGCAAAGAGTATTCATAGCTTTATGACAAACTACAGAGCTAGCCCAAAATATTCCATGATCAAAGGCAACAAAATCAAAAATATCTTTATTAGAGCCAATCAAGATCCCACTCGAGAGGCCCGAGGCAGGTAACACGTGCCAGTCGAATCTGTCCATGCCCGCGATAGCAGAAAGTTCATTAGGTGAAAAAGCTTCCTTAAAGGTTTCAGCCAACCCCACGAAATCAATGATGTTAGAGCGAACCAGATCTTTGAGTTGATCGCGGCGCCCCCTAGCACCGAACCCTCTAATATTCCAAAATAAAGCCCTCATTTGTATGACAAGTTTTTAATGCGGAGACTCGACCTGCTAGGAGCCGCGCAGGATTTAGACCGTTTATTCGTGCCCCTCCTAGATACATTGGGTTGGGGCTGGCCACTACCAGCATCCACACCCGCCTCCCCAATCTGAGAGTTACTAGAGTCAACAGCTGAAAGTACATGTAGTCCCCATGTGTGGTTTTGGTAATTAAATGACAATCCTAATGGACTAATGTTTGCGTTGAGTTGTACATTTGAAGGAAAGTTCCATTTCCAATGCATGAAGAATATTGGATGAACTGAAGGATGTTTGTTCCATCGTGATGCAAGAAGGAGATAGAATGGATTCGAAATGAATGCCATATACATACTGTTGTGCATGCATTAAGGCTTATGGGTTGAACCATGATGGATCAAGATCTTGAGAGAATGATTAAAGAGAAGAATTCTACATATGCTTGATGATAGGATCATTATGAGCTCATTTGTTGAGTCGGGGATTATTATGTATTGAAGCAAGTAATTCAAGTGAAGAATTCATTGTGCCTCTCAAGATACTATGTTGGAGCATAAGAACGGGTAAATGATGTCCAATATGATATTCAAGGAGAAACTTGATATGGTCATGGTGAATTGAGATATTGGTTATTATGTC